GAGAAGCCGAAAGGCTTTGCTGCTCGCCGAGATGAAGTGTGAGCAAAAGACCACGAGAGGGAGCTATAGGAAGCATAAAGCTGCCGGGTTCCTCCTCGTTGAGCAGCGTTCAACTTTCAGAGGCTCACAGCACCTTTAAAATAGTTTATTCTGGGAGGGAATTCACCTGAAAAGTTAGGAATCTATTCTGGGAAAAAAACCCTCAAACCCAACAAAACAAAAACAAAACCAATAATAACAAACAACAAACCTAAACAAACAAAATGCAAAAAAACTAAAATCACACAACCAAAATCTGCTGCAAAGCCTATTTAAAAAGTTGTGTTTATTAAAACTGAAATCTTCACTAGATACCCAAATGCCTACTATTTTAAGGTCAATTGTTTTAATTTCTGTCTCCTTTATATTTATTCCAAATAATAAGACTTATTATGTGGTGCCATTTTGATGCTGAATATGAGTTTGGGAGTGTACGAGAGGACAGACCTCAGATCACTTGGCTCAATCCCCACAATGAGAACCCCGTTCTCCACTTGTCTTGCTTGTAATACATATTTCTTTGTGCTGTTAGAGGCCTCCACTGTAAAAACTCTGGATGTTTTACAGAGCATTGCAGGAATTAAACACATATCTGAACTCCTAGCCAGTCTTAAAAATGAATGCAGCAGTAAATGGCTCAAGTCATGTCAAATATATAGGGCTAAACGTGGATATTAATTATGTAACCAGAGGGACTCAATTTACTTTGTAAAGCAATTAAAAGAAGGCAGAAATTTACAGTCTGTTTCTGGAAAAGAGTAATGTCTACCTAAAAATAGCTTCCTACCCAGAATAGCCTGCCTGTCTTGCATAATATCAACTGTCAGGAAAAAAAAACACAACCCAAGCCAAACACTTAGGCATTTACAGCTCTGCTTTTTTTAGAGCAATATCAAACCCACTTTTTAAAACAATAAAAGTTGGCAGTTAGGTGCCCAGACCCACATTTAGGCATGCAAACAAAGACTTTGCTTTTCAAACGGGCTGAATAGCCCATCAACATTTAGCTTCCTTGGTTTATTGCGCATGGGCAGGTTTAGGCTATTAAGAGGCCTGTGTTCCTGTGACCAGGTTTAAGGAGGTGTAGAGTGTTCATTTTTTTTAATATAGAGTACAGTTTCATGTTGCTCTGGATTATTCTAGTAGCCTGATAGTCTGGGTTTTGTTTGGTTGGTTTGTGTTCATTTTAAATTCTTTTTAATGTCTTTTTTGCCTCAGAGCAGATAGGCAAGGATTCCAGTCAAGCATAGTAATCAGAGCTGGAGTTTGTTCCTCTGTCTATAAGCAAAGTAGATCTATATGAAAACTTCATTAGCCTAAAGCACCTGCCCCAGCAGACACTCTGATAGAAAATTAGCTTATTCTTGGATACTTGCTACACTTTGGTATTACTTTGAATGGTATCCATAATGCCCTTTTCTTTATAGTGTGTCCTCTGAAAAAAAGCTATTAAGCGATCTGTATTCAGCTGTCAGTGAAATCATCATACTTGTTCAGTGTGATAGCCACAGTATCCATCCCTCTCCCTGCCTACTAGATGGACAGAATGCCAGGATCAGACATCTTCAGGTATCTACTGGTGCATCATCTTCAAAGCAATGTAGTCAGACAGACAGAAAGGAAAGCAACAAGATTGTTCCACATGACTCGCTAGGTCTTTGCACTTCAGTGTTCCCCCTTCCATGATTTTAGAAATCAACTTCTAGCAATGGGCTAAAAAACCTGCAGTAGTTTCTTTTGTCCTCAGAGTATATTACGGCATCAAAACTTCTGATCTGCCTTTTTTTGTTGCTATCCTGATTTAAATATATTAGAACCAGCATGTTTAGTTTGTCTACTCAATACTGTACCTAATTATTCCTTCTTCCAGGACTATCATGCTTTAAGTTTTACTGTGACATTTTCCCTTCTGCCCTGTTGTGAATGTGACTGTGGTGGGATTTACAAAAATAAGCGGTTTAATGCATAGATGTAAAAGCAGGAAAAGGAGCTGAGGTAGTATTTGTCTTGATTATTTCAAAACTGTAGTGAGAAAGAGCTTCAAAAAACACCTGAAAGCTCTTTGAGAGACAGCATTTGGGACCCAGGGGCTGTTACCTTTATACTTCAGTAGAACCTCTCTGCTTTTATGTCACTGTTTCTAAAGTAAAAACAAGCTGAAGACAGGGGGAAAAGAACATCAATTCTGAGTGCCTTTCTCAGGCAAAATTTTACTGAAACTAGAAAGTTCATATAAACAAGGACATCTAGATATGACAGCAGGAAACTTTTAACTCCTGTACAGCGATTTCAAAATCTTTTAGTGAGAAAGGATGGTATTATATGCTGAAGCAATCTGTGGCAAAATAAATAACTCCATTTCCACTCTTTTTAATGAGTTCAGTATGCTCTAGGTGATGTCACTGTCAAGGGTGAGCATCAGACACCACTTACACCGTTTACTTTGCTACATTTTCAAATGTGTCTGAGCAAGTAAGATATTACCTTTTGTGCTACAACTCCAAGAATACTTAGTAATATATCAGCAATCTCAGTCATTTAAGTATCTTACTTTTCTTTTAAAAGCCCTGTTAAAAAATGCTAACAAAACACACCTAGAAAGGGAGAACATTATCTATCTGCTTTAAAATTTAATTCCTTCTCAGATTCTGCACTCTTCTTCATCTGCATTTACTGGTAATAAAAGGCAAGCGAAATCCTGACCCTAAGAACATCAACTTGTGTCTATTCTGGGTGCTTTAGTACGCTCAAGTCCAAATGCATCCTGTAGTTGTTTCAGCTTGTTTCAGGTGAGGGCAGCCTGTCTTCTGGGCCAGAAAGTAGCTGGTCTGTGTTCCAACACTTACCCCATCTAGACAAAAAAGAAACTGTGGGGTATACTGAAGATTCTGCCTGTCTGGAAGTCCACATTCCCATAAATAGAAGCAAATCAAAACTAATTAGCTGCTGTTACTATCTCATTTTTAAAGGATAATGAATTTCTAGTAAAAATTACTAGTATTAGTATGTATTATCAGTATGTAGTACTACTAATACATTAGTATGTAGTACTACTAATGTACTACTATGTATATATAATATATATATTATGTATAATAATATATATAATATATATAATGTACTATGTAGTACTACTATGGAGTACTACTAATACATACGTTAGTATGTATTATTAGTATTAGTACTTGTATTAGTAAAAATTACTAGTACTAGTATGAATTTGTAGTAAAAATTACTATCTCAGTTTTAAAGGATAATGAATTTCTAAAAAGTTCTCTATTGTTCACTGGATAAAGGTACATGAAGGCTTCTTCACTGTGCACAGGAAACACAGCTAGAGGCTCTTTTCTGTGCAAGTGTCTGATTCCCAAATTTCTTTTTGTAATTTGAATTCCCGATCTGCATGGTGCTTCACTTTCACAGTAGCAGTCAAAACAGGAAGTCTGCAGCTTGATGCCACAGTAAAACAAAAAACAAAACAAAAAGAAAAAAAGAAAAAAAGGCATTAATACATTCGTCTTGCATCCAGTTTATTTAATACCATAGCAGTAAATACAGTTAAGAGTTCTCAAATCTGGTAATGGTAGAGCTGGCAAGATACAGCTACCTGACAGATCAACAGTCTTATCAGTAGTTCTGGAATTCCATGTGTGCTGGAAAGCTGAAGGGTATACATGAGTAGTTTTAAAATTCAACCTCACAGATATTGTTAACAGTTAAATATACTACTCCTGATATGGCAGAGCATCATATGCATAGAAATAAAGCAACACTGTGCCTGTCAACACTGAGAACTAAATTCCAATATTGGTAGTATTAAAACAAGTGAAATAAACAGTATCTTTTCCTTAAGAAACAGAAGTGATCTTTGGTCAACACTTATAAAATTAAAGCACATTTTAATAACAGTAATGCTAAGATTATATAGGTTTTTTGTATTATTTTAATGGGGTGGACATTTGAAAATTGGTATTCTGCTGTGACTGATAAAGTAATGCTACAAATTTCAATGCATGTAAAATTTCAGAGCACAGGTAGGCTTCAACTCTGCAGCTTCCAAAGACTGAATCTCAGCTGTCCTGTGAAATGGTTAGGAAGCAGTAATTCATCTTCAGATCACTCCCCTTTCATAATTTCTGTACAAGCACAGCATTTTCAAATGCCCTTATTTAGTTGCCTACAATAAGAGCTCTGTATGTCACCTGACTACATATTTAGATCCATCTGATGTTTAATATCCACATTTGAAAGGTGTAACTAACATACTCCTTAGTGCTCTCTCAAGTGGCATTTCAATACAATAGTGATGACTTGAAAGCCATTGGTCCTTAGAAAAACACTCTATGCAATTTAGGAGTGCAGGTCTTACCAGCAGGCTGACCTTTAAATCCAGGCAGACATTCTAAAGAACTTGTGCTCTTTACCAGTCCATGTGCTTTTCAAGCCTCCACTCCCATCTAAAACTGAGTAGGCACAGGAACATTTTTGCAGCCCATGAAAACCGGTCTCTGAAAGGGATCAGCACAAGATGTTACCCTGGCCTTAACGCTGGCCATAGCCATAAAATTATTTCACTAATGACCTTGCCAAAACAGTCTGATGCTCACTAACATTTCACTAACTTTTCAGTTCCCATCCTGCTCAACCTTCTCTACTTTCTTTCACCACTCAAAATGAAAAAAAACCCACCAAAAAAAAAACCAAACAAACCACCAAACCTGAAACAGAAGACAACAGTGCTTTGTTCTTCTGCTTTGCTACTTCTGGTGCCTTTGCAGGTAAATACCTCTTGTAGATTTGGTGTCTAAGCATTTAATTCGTATGAATTTTAGCAGGTGCTAGGCACCTTTAAGCACACAAGGATCCTACCCATCCTTCCTTCAGTTCAATATATTATTACATGAAGCAGCAGTATTTTGCTTTAGTATAAGTGTTCTTGCATAAAAAAACCCAACCACATCTCAGAATTCTGAAGTAATATTTTAATCAGCAAGGCTGAGTTTATTGGAAATAACTTTTCATTCTTCAGTTGCACCTAGAAGTCCTACCCAAGACCATGCTGGTGTTTAATAAATACAGACTAAAACTCTCCTCTGAGGAATTTAAGATAAAGGATGAGAGAAGCAGCTTAGTGACAAAGCCCTAACACAGTACATCTGTAGTAGAACTGGAAAAAGAAGGTCAGGTCTTCTAGGTCTAGACCATGTCCACTTGACTTTACTATATCCTGCCTTTGGTTTCTTCTGTCTTACTCCTCTAGACACTGACCTTTGGAGGAAACTGAATTCTTAAAACTGTCTGTGTTCCATTATTTCATCTTGTTCCTACCTCAAAAGTAACCCAAATTTTACACAGATTTCCTTCTCTTTCCAAACACATTGTTGATTAACTTGGCCATTGACTTTGATCCGCTTGGTCGTCTCTTTTCCTTCACTTTGAAATTTGATGTGATAGTCCTCAGGACTTTTGTGAACATTGCCACAACTTCCTGATAATGTTCTGCTGCAGACAGTTCACAGAATTGGCACTTGTTATCTATTGCCAGCTTCTGTCCTTCATCCCAGCCAACTTCCCTCATGTGGCATAAATCTTGTTTATTACCAACCAATAATACTGATGACTCAGCCATTCTGAAACAAAAAAAGCTCCAATTAAAGATATGTTACAATACTGTGCTGTATGCTGTGCTATATAGATTGTGTATGAAAAGTACGTGAGGATAATAGGCATTTGAAAAATCAACCAAACAAATGAGAACAAGCCAAATCCCTAGCCTTGCCAGGTGGAATTATAGTTTTCCATCTGCCATAGTCACATGTCAAGATTTTCCAGACAAGCTATTCTCCATTAGTAAGTTTTCATTCTGGTTCCTGTACTCAGTGTATTTATGTATTTTCAGCCACTGTAGTTTTCATACTCTGTACTGTTAGGTATATTGTCAGCTTCTGGACTTCATGAAGCAGCAAGCTGATCACTATCTCCATTTGTAGATAACAGAATATAGTCAAAGAGATGCATCAAGATGCACAAGAAAAGTTTTTTGATTTCTTTTCAATCAGCTTCTGATAAATGTGAAGGAAATCCTTTCTTTATATTTAGGAAGCACCTCAGCTGACACAGGAATAAGCACCACCACATGTACTCAGACTTGCAGTTTTGGTGGTTCTTTTTGAAAGTAAGTGGTTTGTTTCTAACTATATGGTCATCCATGTGCACAAATAATGTTGGGGTCACTGCTAAAGACAGTTTAGGAGACATTCATGGTATTAGATTAATTTATTGTGGGAAGAACTTCCTTCAGCCCCCACACTGGTGCATCCCTATTGGTAATTGAGTGGGTGAGTAAAAGCATAGACTGACTGTGCTGCTTTTTACCCCTCCATGTAAATCACAGCAGAGATTTATGGCAGTTATTTAAATAGTAGTGCTATAAGAAATAAGAACAAAAATCCCAATGTACTTGGCTTTGGATACAGTGAAATAGATTGCAGTTTGCAACAGTTTACCTTCCAGTACATTATTGTTGGTACTGTGTTACGCCACTTGGATGCTACTGGATTTTAATTGCTAGTAGGATGCCTACAGCTCACAGACAAGTTCTCAGCTTTCGTGTATGTTTGCCGAGGGAAAAAAATAAAAATAAAAATAAGGCCACTTACTTTTTACAAGCTCCTATGTGAGACTCTCGGATCCTGTACAGCAATGCTTTTGCAAATGCAAATGATGCTCTGTCACTGATGTCGTAAACAATGATAAATCCATCAGCCCAGTGGAGCTCATCTGTGAGGGAGAGCTTCCCCCGTTGTGGCTGAAAGATGTTCAAGTTCACATGCAAAAAGAATGTTACTGTTATCACTTCAGAGCATTTTCTTTTTACTCACTGTGAATGTAAGAATGATGTATCTTTTATTGCAAAAGATATTAATAGGTCTAGGTGCTGGCTTTGAATTCAGGTGAGTCCTGCTGCAAAAGCCTAAGAAATAACCAGCACTACAGATGGCACCTTCAATCACTGACAAGTTCATTACAAAAAAAGTTTGTTTAAGCATTAAAACTGCATAACCTGTACAGCCATCACTTATGCTGAGTATTTTGTAGTTATATGAGAATGAAACATACAGAAGCCATCAATATTTGTGCAGTTTCTTGTTATAGCTCAGTTTTGCATGTTCCTAACAGTCTGACTACAGTTACCTTTCATTTTGTTTGTTTCTTCATTCATTTTGTTTCTTTACTTTGTTCAAGTCTGAAAAACTGCTTCCCCATAGGATACATTTCTTAAGAGCTAAGAAAAAGATCTCCTTTCAATCTGCAGTTGACTTTAAGAACACTTGTGACAAGTCACTCAAGTGATAAGGGGGTTAATTGTCCAATCACCCCAAGGAGAAACTGTTGCACTTGTGATTTCTAGAAAAGAACAGCTGCAAACTGTCCCATTAAGCTAAGGAACGAAATTTCAAAACCATTTTAAAATAACCTATCCCTGCAGATAATTTGGCAATGCCTATAAAGACCATGTGACACAAGACAGGTAAAAAACTGGAAGTTTACCAAAATAAAAAAAAACCCAAACAACCCTTGACTTTTGTTCTGAAAACCCCACTTTGAATTGCAATTTGAACACCGTTTTAAGTTATTCTCTCACTAGTTTAGTGTTTTGCCATTTACAATGTATAATCTCCCTTGACATCCCACCCTAGTTGCCTTGATTAGCTCAGGATCTGAGCAGCACAGTAGCATCATAAGCTGGACAGGGAAGGCTTTAACTTCTCATGAGGGATGGAATGCTGGCAGTGAAAGGGAATGCATTAGAATGACGAGATGAAACAAGCTTCCAAAACAGTCTGAAGACTTCAGTATTTTGAATCCAACAGGGTTTTTTTTAAATGTTATGGTGACTGTGCAGCAGGTTTAGGGGCAGGAAAGATGACTTGTGTGTGTAACAGCTGTTTCACAGACAGATAAAAGGACAGTGAGCTTCGCAGAACAGGGATCCAGCTATTACAGAGAAACCACAGGGAGCAAGAAGACTTCAGGAAGCAGAAACAAAAATGGCAACTCTTCCTTCCGCAGTTTGGCCCCCCTGGGACCTGCTTTTCTTTCCCAGGTACCGTGGGATACAGGACCTCTGTACCCCATCCATCTCTTTCTAGAATCAGCAGTCGTATCAGACAAAAAGCAGTACTACACTCTTATTTGCTACCTACTCCTCTGCAGGCACTTAGAAGTCAGGAAGAAAGCAGCAAACAGCTAAAGTTAGGCCTCGTTCCTAAGGAAGAACTGTACAGGACAGCTCTAGAGTGCTGGCAACAGGGGTTGCCCTTAACACAACTGATCTCTGGTCTAATTGAAAGGAAAAAGGAGCCCAAACTATACCAACCAAAGCCTCTACCCGTAATGTCATCTAATCTGCTTTATACTAGCTGCCAGTCTCACTGTTTCAAGTATCTTAATAAAGAGTTGTTCATAGGCCACAAGATTTCGTATGTGTCATGATTTAAGCACAGCTTCCACAGTAAGGCTTAGGAAAGGGGACCAAGATAGGTGGAAGCAAATCTGCAGTACATTCTGACAGATTGTATGGCAAGGGAGGACTCCATAATGTTACATGGCACAGGGGCTATTTCAGGATCCCCAGTGCCCTGGGACAAGCAAACCTGTTGCTTGTCTCTGGGAAGGCCGACTGGTTTTGGTGGTTTATTTTACATGCTGTCTGGGTTGTTTTAAGTCCTTGAATTTAAGCCTGGGTCAAACTTTCAGTGCTTTGGCTTTAGCAGTCAGTAAGCTAGTTAATACAAGGCAATATCACTGCCCAGAAGGGAACCTCGCAATCTAATGTGATTAGTCAGATAGACCTACACAGGCCTGCACGTGTTACACAGTACCTAACTTTCTCTATTCCTCTTATAGCAAGAAAGAATACAAAAATCAAAGCTGTTTACTATGATCAAAGATAAGCTTTCAACACATGCAAGCCTGCATTAAGGCCTTCCTTGGATCAGTCCTGTGAATGCAAGCCTTACATCCAGGCCAGTCTGCTCTGACCATTTCTGCAGGCATTTAATAAATTGCTTGCTTTATAAGCTAAATTTCATCCTTTTAGGGTATTTGAGAAAACTGCACATAACCCTGTAACTTACTTCTGTGTTTACTTATATAAGGCAGAAGTGGGAAAAGCTATTTGCTAGTAGTATTTCAAAAAACAAAATCATTTACAGGAAAAATAAGCAATTAAGGGCTTCTTCCATGAAACAGGAAAGTACTCAGCAGTTCTGAGCCACAGCAACTATCAAACTTCATAGAATCACAATAGAATCATAGAATAGCTAGGGTTGGAAAGGACCTTAAGATCATCTAGTTCCAAGCCCCCTGCCATGGGCAGGAACACCTCACACTAAATGATGTCACCCAAGCCTCTGTCCAGCCTGGCCTTGAACACTGCCACTGATGGAGCATTCACAACCTCCCTGGACAACCTATTCCAGTGCCTCACCACCCTAACAGGAAAGAATTTCTTCCTTACATCCAATCTAAACTTCCCCTGTCCCCTGTTTAAGTTTTAACCCATTACCCCTTGTCCTATCACTACAGTCCCTAATGAAGAGTCCCTCCCCAGCATCCTCATAGGCTCCCTTGAGATACTGGAAGGCTGCTATGAGGTCTCCATGCAGCCTTCTCCAGGCTGAACAGCCCCAACTTTCTCAGCCTATCTTCATACAGGAGGTGCTCCAGTCCCCTGATCATCCTTGTGGCTCTCCTCTGGACTTGTTCCTACAGCTCCATGTCCTTTTTATGTTGAGGACACCAGAACTGCACACAATACTCCAAGTGAGGTCCCACAAGAGCAGAGTAGAGGGGCAGGATCACCTCCTTCAACCTTCTGGTCATGCTCCTTTTGATGCAGTCCAGGATACAGCTGGCTTTCTGAGCTGAGAGCGCACACTGAAGCCGGCTCATGTTAAGTTTCTCATCAACCAACACCCCCAAGTCCTTCTTCACAGGGCTGCTCTGAATCTCTTCTCTGACCAACCTGTAGCTGTGCCTGGGATTGCTCCGACTCAGGTGTAAGACCTTGCACATTTCAGTCTTTATCAAAAAAGCAATCAGGTATTCTAAGAACAGAGAAAAAGTTTGTAACACAGACATGCCCCTCCTGACACTTTTTGCCATTACATGGGTAAAATGACGAACAGCCTGTTTTTGCTCCTGAAAATTCTTACCTGTGAACAAGGGTCATAAATTTCCAAGTGTATCTGCCTCCCATCCAGGCATAAGTGTTTAGTGTAGATGCATTCTAAAAAACATATAGTATGCAAAGAAAACCAGCATTAGTGACTGGGAATGGTGGTGAAAAAGCAGCAAAAGTGAGACTGCGTAATACTGAAGGTTCCTTGAGTATTGTCTAGATTTTTAAGGAGTCTGGGTGGTTTTTGGTGGTTTATTTTTGGTGGTTTATTTATGGGGGGTTTTGTTTGGTGGTTTCCTTTCATTTTTGTTTGTTTGTTTGTTTGTTTGTTTTGTGGTGGCATTTTTTGTTAGGTTTGTTTCCAGTGTGTATTTAAAACAACTTCATTTGCAACACCTTAACTGCCCGGCCCCTTAAGCTGACCACCACCATTTCACTGTGGTGTTCCATCAAAATGTTGATGTAATGAGTATTTCAGATCCTAGTTTTCCTCTTCTAAAATCTAGGTAAACTGGAGGTACAACATTTATAATCAGCTAAATGCGGATGATTTCTCAGCTTGATACCAAGACTCAGTGTTATGAAAGTAGCAAGCAGGCTATGTGTAAGCTCTGATTCTGTACAAAAATCATCATTTAGTAATAATGTTTATTTACCATGAAATCTGGTGCTTTAAGAGTTTTCATAATAGGTAGCATTAAACCAATACTATTTACAGGATCATGTCCTTAGACCAGATCCTAAAATATTTCTGTAGTGTCACTTCTCAGATTTAGGACTTTGCAAGAGCACTAGCAACAATTGCAGAGCAAGCATAACCAACTTCTGTTCATGGAACTAGTCATCAATAGGCTGTCTACAGTATAATTTCTCAGAGTTACTGAACTACAAAGACAACTGGTTTTGGCACTACTGAAAATACACTTTAAACTGTGTATTAAGTGCACTGATAAGGTCTTCAGTCTCTGGATTTAGCATCTTCAGTACCATGCTCATCTTAAGCATTCTCCATGTGCATCGTAAGAGTTGATGGTGAGCTACCAGTTCAAATCATCTTAGGGTATTAAAATATGCAGCCTTTTGGTGGTTTCCATAATTAAATATTTAATACATACTTTGACTCCACTAACAATGAGAGGTTCTTTATCCCCATATTCCCACTTTACTCCCCCTTCCTCCTCTCTAGAAACAGATCTAAACTTATCTTACAACAACCATTTGCTAACAAATGAAAATGCTTTGGGGGTTTTACGTGCCTTTTCTGAGACTTGCAGTACTGGAGGATCAGAAGAAGGAAACCTGTTTTTAGTTTAGATTACTTAAAACACAGAAAGCACTACATAACTTCACAACGTACACATGACAGCTTAGAACTGGATAAGCCATCTGGGACACAAACTGCCCTTTCAGTCTGTGTTTGTGTAGTAACAAGTATCAGTAGAGCATTTATGCACAACTCCACTTTCAGAATAAGTTCATTTGGGTATTTTCAATTCATTTCAGCTTAGTACTTCTATTTTACATTTCATTTATTAACCTTGGGAAGCTACTCTTTTCGTAGAAAAATGGCTTTGGAAAGACCCCTCCGCTTTAGCAGGGAAAGTGAGGCAGGCAGCAATCTCCATGCCCTGTTAAGGTTTGGGATATCCCATGCCCTAGAAGCTGGAGTGGCAGACTTACAAAGGTGTATCAGTTAAATAGTACTTCCACCCAGGATGCGAAAGTTCAAATCCTGCTTTGACATCTCCAAAGACCTCAGAGGTGTCTTAAGAATCAGTGTATTTGTTCTGGCATGAATGAGAAATTCTATCCTCAGCATGGCAAGGCTTTCCACAAACCTGTCAAATCAGTCCACTCCTGCAAAAGCAGTGGGCTTTGCATTATGCTTTGATTAACCAGTAGTGCCTGATAAACAATCAGTTTCACCTCTCCTCTGGAGCTGAGAAGATATGCAATAGAACAGGGGGCTGTTTGGTTTTTTTTCCAGTCCATTTCTTTACTCTCTTCTTTATCTCCTCTCAGATTGAGTTTACTATAATCTACCCACACCTCGCACATGCAGCCTTGTTATCTTTCCTTCCTAAGCCCCTCCACAGTTGCTTTGTGACAAGCACCGCATCAGCTTGCTTGTACTCACTGGAGTTTTAAGTGATCTCTCTATAGATAGCTGGCTCGCCTTTTCCCGCCTTCAAGCTCACACTTCATTAGGAACTATCACCGATAAGCAAGCAGAAACTTAAACCTTTCCGAGAAGTTCTGTGGAACTGCGTTTCCACCCAATTCCTTGTTCAAGTGTTTGAAGCTCCGCATTTTGCCTTTCCCCCCACACGGCACCACCCGCTCTCGCCGCCCCATCCCCAGAGGCTCACCGGTGTTGGACGCGTACTCCCCGATGAACCGCCGCGTCAGAAACCGCACCGCCAGCGCTGCAGGAGGGAAAGAAGCACACACCACATTTAACGGGGTTCCTCCCGCTGGCCGCCCCCAAACCCAAGGTGCGGTCAGGCTGGGGCCGTCCTCCTCCCCGCCTTACCCGACTTGCCGGCTCCGCTGCCACCCAGCACGGCCAATTTCACTTCGGTCATACCGCCACCAGGACACTCACCGTCGCCTCCATTTCTTTATAGCCGCTGGGCCGAGCGCAGCTCCTCCGGTGACACCGCCCAACAGCCCGCCTTCACCCCGCTCCCCCCGTTATTCCCTGGCCGCTTTCCCCGCCCCGCCGGCGAGGCCGGTAGGTACAGCTGCTTGCGGGGGTTGGTGGTTTTCATCCTCTCCGACAAACATCCTCCTCCTACGTCCCACGGCCTTTTTCTACACCGCAGAAACTTTGTTCAGGCGGCCTTCCTGCTGCCAGGCCCGGTCCTTTGCAGGCTGGCGGGTCCCTCGGTTTCTCTTCTTTCCTGCTCTTCTTTCCGGCTTCTCTTCCTTCTCTTCTTTTCCCCCCTCCGCCCCAGGCCTCACAGTGCGCAAAGCATTTTTAGAAACTGGGGCAAAAGGGGAAAAGAAGGAAGAGACATTCCTTAGATGGGCGGTGTGTTTGTTTATTTATGCTGTAAGTTTGTTTGAATATTGCTCCAGCATCCAAGTTACACTTGTGTACTTACTCTGTTCATGTTTATTTTATTTGTTTATATAACTTGAATATTTAATTCTGGTATTTTTACTCTCTTCTGATGAAACTGTTGCACACTGTATAAATGGCTTCAATAAAGCACTACTTCAGTATGCTTGCTAGTGGGTATTACAGCTACAACAGGTTTACATGAGCTCAAAAAAAAATAGACAAGGTACTTGAACGTATGTTTGTTATAGCTGAAGGAAGTGCTTAGTGGAGGAAAATATATTTAATAAGAAACATGTAGGCACGGCTTGGCTCCAAGGCCCCTGACTTACAAATATCTAATGGATTTTTTGGTAGCTTTCTGCTGCTGCTCACTTACAAGAAAAGTTATGGTTTAACAAGAACTTTAGTTATTTTAGTTTAGTTTTTTTTTTTAGTTCTGCCCTTTTTTGGCTATTTTTACATTAGTTTTTGAAGTCGTGTGGTGCCGAGATCACTAGGCTGGAGTCAATATTGGTATAACTGGCACAATTTAGTATTTTACTATTTCATGTACATTGAAACCACTGCAACAAAAAATCTAAAACTTATCCATGTGCACCATTATCAATGCTGCAACTTTTGCAGGCAAATAAATGGCTCTGGTGTGATGTCTGAACCTGTCTCACAGCTTGGGAACATACTTTAGTTTCTGTTGGAGTACGTGCAGATGATGACTATGCTATGGAAAGGGTGATTAAGGCAGTTTTAACCCTGTAAACAGGCCATGGTACAGGAGAACAGAAGTTAACTCCTGAGGCGGATTTGGCTCAAGATGCGCTTCTCAGGTTGACTTTTTCTCCTCCCTCTTTTTTTTTGCACTGCTTATTCATGGCAATGTTGGGCCTCATTCCCGCCCTTGAGGCATGGTGGGCCAGCACAGCTCTTTGTGGTGTCTGTTGTGATACTGAATAGGGAAACAATTATATTGTTTCAGCTCAGCAAATTCTGTGGTACAGCCATAGTAGAAATTTCCCAGCAACTATGGGAAGACTCGGGTCTGTTTCAGATGCTCTTGCAGCCAAATGACTGCAAGTGAGATCAGAAGGTAAGAGACTTCACTGTACAGGAAGATTATGCATGAATATTAATGATATGGCAGCTTGTTCAAAATTAAATGCTGCAGTACTTGGGATGTAGGTCGTCCAAATAGAATCCAGCTCTCCTGTTCACTTTACAGGGACTTAACTACATGAACACTTCTCTCACCTAGACAGCAGATGTGATAACCAAATTAGGGTGTTGCCCATGTTAAAGAATATATTGCCTGGAACTTTTATTCTTTTAGTAATACAAAAAATTTCTTAAGAACACTGAGACAGTTTATTGTGTATATTCTGTATGTATATACATTAAAGCACTAGAGAAATCAAGCTTTAATTGCAGATGAAGCAACATGAATGTTTCTGTCCTGAAAGACTTTCTCCATTCAAATCCCCTCAGCCGCTTGCTTTCCTTCAGCATGACTGTCCTTACCTGCAACTTACACAATTGTCTTTTTCAGTTCCTTCCATTACTGACTCTGTGCTGGCCGTCCTTCTGTACTGGAACAGGTTTACTTTCATTACCTATGGGTGTAAATGTCTGTACAAGGGTAGAGGTGCATAGAAAACAGTTCAGCTCTCTAGTGAGAACAAGCTTACGTGTTAGTTTTGGGTTTGGTAGTCAAAACCGAGTCAGCTCTGTGCTGCTCAAGTTAGAAGTGATGAAACCTTCTTTACATACTACGAAAACAATAGGCTTCTAATAGATACACTGTAAATAAATCATTAACCAGATAAATTACTTTTGCAGTGAACATGGTGAAGGATTGATTTTGAATTGTTTAAGCTGAAAGTTTTCAGAAGTCTGAAGATCACTGGTGAGATGAGATCACTTTGCATTTCATTCCCAGTTTTGTAGATGAGAATTTCTGTGGCTTGATGCCAGTATACCTCTGGGAGTCAGAACTGCTTATAGGAAAAATTAGCATCAGAAAAACATTTACTTTCCTTTTAAGTGTTTTCTTTGGTGCATCTTAGCTGCTGGAAAGAAGGTGAAATTATGAGTATTTGGCTATCTGTACTCTGTGTGCAACCATAATGGTTTGATCCAGAAAGCACAATTAGAAGCTGCTGGCTGAAGCAGGTGCCAGCCGTTTGCTTTGTGTGGCACAGGATTTCTAAAGCTTGCTTAAGTTTGCATCCCTGTGGAATTAGACCCCTTTTGGCTTAGGAAGTAATGTTTTCCAAAGAGGACCTGTCTTTTAAAGCCCACTTTCCATCAGATCGTCAGGTAGAGCACTGTAAATTATGCATCTGGTGCTCTAATTGCTTCCGTAGCAAGTGAACTGGCCAACTAGAGGTCTGAAACCACAGCAAAACTAACAAAACTAGAAGGACAGGATTTTCAGGTAAATGTGATGTTTCCATCACCTATATACTTGGATACATTCCTCAGAGGGATACTCAGAGGACAGAAGACATAATTCAGCATAGTCTCAGTTACTTTGTGTTCTCTTTTCATGGCATAATGGAAAAAATGAAAATTGCCATTTTCCCCTTGAAAATAGCAAATTTTTCTTGGAGGCAAGTTGTGATATTCAGTGATTGAAATTTTACCTTGCTGACCATGAGAAAGTGTGGGGTGTTTTTATTTAACAGAAATTACAAATTTTGTCTGTGATAAAGTACCATTAGTACTCAATTGAATGAGTACTCAATTTTCATACTGGATGTGAAAAACAGGACTTTAGTTTCTCACAGCTTTCTCACAGACCCTGAAAGCACGTATCCCTCATGGCATCATGGAAGGATTCTGCACTTTCATGGAATGCTTCCTAGCTGATAACCATAAGGTAAAGACAGTATGACAGAGTTAGATCTGTTACAGCTGCTGTTACCCTACACCCGCCACGGCAGTACACACAGATGTTGAAGCACTTAAAGGACTCTGCTCCAGAGTTGGGACACCACATATTCTGGTGATAACAGCTTGTGGTTAGTGTTGTGGCAATGAAATCTAAGGCATCTAGACTTCAACATTTATATCATGTATCACCTATTGTTGATATAAATACATATCTTTTATTCATAGCATGAGAATTAGAGTCAGAATCTTAAAAAAAAAAAAAAAAAAAGAAAGGTTGTTTGATTCTTGAGTAAACAGTGTATACTGGGTTGTGGAAGTGCCACACCAGTGTTACATTACAGTAAGATAAATCGTCAAATTGATTTTCCATTTCTTATTTTAAGTACACAAATGGTCTATTTGTTTAACATCTGTTCTACAGAAACTTTGAGACACAGATTATCTTCTGAATAGGTAACTGTAAAGTAACTAGCACATGATAAAGCCCTCTATATTTTACTGTAATGCAAATATTAAAAATAGTCTCATCAAATGGCTTGGACTGCCATATGGAAGTTAGAAAAAAATTTTTTTGAGTAATTAAGTTGTTAATGACAAGAAGCAAAGGTTTTAAAATTATATTCATCTACCTTATGTAATTCTACTTTTAGACAGATTTTTTTTTTGGCATGAGTTTCATATAAGAGACTTTTCCCAGAAAACGGAAAATTTTCCTATGTAGTTAAATGTTAACCCAACTGCAGCAGCATCTGAGTTGCAAGGCTAAATGCTTGCAGAGGGTGCTTATATCTAAGTCCCAACATAAAGGTTACACTTTTTTGTATTTACTGCCTAGTGGAATGTTATCTTATGTAGAATTATTTGGGACAAAAACACAAAACACATCTTTAACTAAGGCCTGTACTCAAATTTAATTTCTGTAGTTTACATTAACAGACACTGTATGTAGAGGAAGTTATTAATAATCTCAGAAGAAGTAAACAAATTGAAATCTGTTTCTGAAATTATATTGGCCAATATTGGTTGTTGAAATAATGCAATGTTGAAGACTTTTCCCTTTTTTTAACATTGGAATCAAAATAGATACTCTCCAGAAATGCTCTGCAAGAGTTGTAAAGTAAGGCAGGGTATCATCCTAGAATAATTAAATAATCTGGTCATTGAAGAATATTTTTTAAGATTTAAAAAAATGTTCAAAGGCTGGAAATGACACCTAACCTATTTCTGCTGTGCTGGCAAATGCTTTTTAGTCGTCATTGATGTTTGTTCAGTCCATATTGTGATTAGAATCCTACTGAGAGTTCACAAATAACTTACAGGGAGATAAACTAGTGTTTGAATTTGCAGCATTTTAATAGTCTTGTAATAAAATGCCAACACATATGTTCTTATCTCAAGTAAATAGGTGAGATATGTTGATCTATAATGGAGGTAAAGTCTTTCTGTGTAGTACTTAAAGTGTTAGTGTTGAGCTATAATGTCTTAGTCTCTGCTTGGGGCCCTTCAAGTTTAATGTCAGCTCTTTCAATAATCAGCAGAGGCTTGAGATTGCTTCCATCGTTTTGGAGATGAAGCAGGACTCCAGCTGAGCGTGTTCCTTGTCATCTACAATTCTCCTAACTCTCAAAATCACATCTCCTGCCTTTTTTGATTGTAGATATGTTCTGCAAAAACCTGTGTGTTTGCACAGTGTATATGAAGCAGAGCAGAGGGCGGATTATTTTTTTTCCACA